GTGCCCTGCTACACATCTCCCCTTCCCGGGGTTGAGCCTGCTTAGGAGTGGGGCGCGGGAGTGCCCCACGACACTCTCCAAACTCTCCAGAAAAGTAGAATCTCACTGATCTACATTTGAGGTGGGAGCAGTACTAGCTCAGGGAGGGCTCTGTTTGAGTCCCACAGCAAAGGTGCTGGTTTTCAGTGGACACCTGTGCTTAAGAAGAGAGGAAGATGTTCACAGGCGGATGAGAGTTGCAAATATTACCATGTATGAAGTGCACTAAAAGCTGCCCTTCAAATCCTCTTCATATTCTACATGTCCATCTGACAAGATGTTTTGTTCAAAGTCATCTTCAGTACCTGCAGCGGTAACCAGACTTCGTTCCAGGGCGCCGCCAGGTTTTATTTGTATGTTGCTGTGATGTTCGGAGAACGTGTTGGTAGTTCACGCTTGGAAGTTTGGGCCCAGGCAGAAGCCTCAAGCCCTTTGTCACAAGCAAGAGATTCAGCACATGTAACTAAGGAGTAGAAAATGTTCAGCAGGGTTTTCTGTGCGACACTTCTTCATAGTCTCCCACCTAAATCAGGAGATTAGGAAAAAACGTTTGTTTCCCTGAGCTTCCCAAGAGAGAGGCATAAGTCTCATTGCTTGGGAAATTAGAAAATCCGGTGCCCTGTAGTCAGTGCTGGGACTGGGCGTGAGGAAGGGAGGGGAGAGGTGGCAAACAAAGGGGACTCGTGGAAGGATTAGCAGCCGCTTAAGAACTGCAAATGGAAATGGAGGGCTGATCCTGAGAGAGGAGCATCTATTCACAGACACTTTGGGATTAATGCTTGAAAACCTGTCTCCCCTCCTCCACAGATGTAACTTTAAACTGTTTTAAAAGAAGATGGGGGTCTTGTCACTTGGGAGCACCCGGCAGCTGTTCTGATTTAACCATTACTTCTGCACCTGGAAGTGAGCTGACCCACTGTAACCGCAGCCCTTTACACCAGTGATGCTCAACCTCCCAGCCCCGCAGGCTGGATGAGTAGCACCAGACCAGTGGGTGGGCAGCGTCTTGTGGGCAGGGATTGGTTCATGAGCATGAACCGACTCACCAACACAACCCAGCTGCCAGATCTAGCTGCCACGTGACCTGGCACACTGGCCTGACCCGCACGCTGGATCCAATCACAGACCAACCCCACGTGCTGGCATTATCCAGCACATAAGGCCATGTCCTCTGCCCACAGGACTTCCCATGAGTCCAGAAATATAGCAGCGAGGGAGCAGCCAGAGCATTCTGGAAGCAATGAATGCTGCCACCGCTCCCCCACCGGATCGCTGGACCCGTGGTGAGCCCTGTGGGCTGGGCTGCAGGTTGAGCACCGGTACTTCAGCTGGTTAAAGTGACATCACTCTACTCCACTTCCACCAGTCTCAGGGCAAACAGGCATACCAGTTGCATTGGAACATCTTATACTGGGGCGATTTAATCCCAATGTAACTGTTACATCTGTCCCCATGCTTAGATTTCTGTCACAATGTCTTGCTGACCCATTAGTCTCATCACCCTCTGCCTACGGGCGCTTAAGTAAGAAGGACCCTGTCAGGGACCCTACCAGTACCCATGCCTTTCCCTGATGACTCAGGCCCCAAGAGCATAAGCAAAGCCCATGAAATTGTTAAAATAGCTTCCGCATACCAGTTCTTGTGATTTGCTGCAGATATTTCTAATATCCATCTCTAACAGTACTTTAACTCCAGGCTGTGAACTCACTTCAGTCTCGGTGGAATGAGAGCATTGAAGAAGGCTCTGTAGTTTTCTGCTGACTGGTACATTATTTCCCCCCTTTTATCAGTCTGTTCCTTCTCCCAATCTTGAATTTTTTTTTCTTTTCACTTTATTCACCTTATTCCC